CTTACCTGTGGCGCCATAGCTCCAGCTCCATCTTCGAGGTACCTGCATCAAGGCGCCAACTTCACAGGTTAGTACTGGACTGAGAGAGAGAGAGAGAGAGAGAGTTCTTTTTCCTCTTCTTCTAAGTCCACCATCTCTTCTTCCCCTCTCACCACCTGACTTCTCAGTATCAGCGGACTACTACAGAGAGAGAGAGTTGTGACTTGAGACTTGACGACATTGGATCCAGACTCGACATTGGGATTCAGACATTTTGACGAGGGACTATTTGGGCCTGTGCCGAAGACTTGGTGTTGACGACATTCCCCATCTTCCCCTCTTCTTCGTCTAACCCCCATCTCCTTCGCCTGTGTATGGTTGGGGCTGGCGCAGTCTTCCTGTGTGAAGCGCCAGACCCCTTTCACACCATGGAACGATGATGATGATGTATGTTCAGGGCTGCATTGCAATATTGATTGTTCGGATCATTGGTATCTAAGTCTTCCGCTACGCTATCTTGTACTTTGTATTGAGAGGTCGGTTCTTGTTCTGGTCTGCACCGTTACAGTATGCAACAGTGAGCCACCACAGGAATAACAGGGCAGTGGTGTGAGCCACCACAGGAATTCTGGCAATGGGGGATATGAAAGGAGGAGAGAAATATGACTCCCTAAGGATGGCGGCAACTTCTTGGGAGATGTAAGTTGTGCCTTGCAGGCCCCAGTCCTGTCGCAGGGATTTGTGAGAGTTATACACGGTGCACTCAGCGTGAGCACCATACTCCTTTGTTTTTCTGCTCAGTGTTTGCTCCTACTTGACACGGTCGGGAGAGCCCTCGAGCTGCTTTGTGCTCGCAAGCTGATGTGCTCGACAGTGGCAAAGCCGTTCTAAGCTTTAGGCGCACTCAGTCAACATCACGGCACCAGGCCAGGCTAGAAATCGAATGTCCTTTATGAGGTCATGGGATCGTTCGTGGAGACCTTCGGACTGAACTTCGACCTAGTCAGTAAACCAAAGGCTAAGACACCTGGCCGGAATAGAGGGCACAGAGGTCGACTGGCTTAGGTGGAGGGACTTTTTTCGGAGGAAGCTCGCAGTAAAAAACACCCGGACAGTGACCTGGTAACATAGGGACTTCCTGCACTAATGGTTAATGGGTGGTGTCATTTTCAGCAAAGTTCGTGCATGATCGTTCGCACATGATCGATCGTGGCAAAGCTAAGGATGCTTTTTAAAAGTAGAGTGAGAGGCAGTGTGGTCTGGGAAGAATTGATGAAGGAGGTATTGGAAAAAAACGTCCGAGGAAGAAAGGGGTGAAAGTTAGGATGTAGAGGGTGAGGCTGATGGCCGCAGGACTCTCCTAATGACGGTGAGAGACTGGTTCAGACGAAGGGGATCAACCGTTTGCGCAAAGAAGCAACGGTACACCTCACCCGATGCGATGTTTCGCTAAGAAGACTACGGATGAACCGAAAGCAGAGATAGAGGTGTCAGTCAACTGGCGGAAGCACCTTCATCAATATGTCAGGGGTTTGAGAGATTTTGGAACTTACAAGTGCCTTCCTGGATGGTTGGACCCTGAGGAAATGTCTGGTAAAGAATACCCGAAAGGAAGGAAGGACAAGGCTCTGAGAGAGAGGCCGGAGGAAAGGGTGGCCATGATGAAGGTAGTCTCCTCCACTACACCTTTAAACAAGACCTGTGGGGAGGACAAGCCTTTCGTTCACGAACGAACATACCAAATTTCCTCAGGGAATATGAATACCACGCTGCCCTCTCGAACTGGATAGCAAGGACAAAAACTAATTAATAGTTTAATGAGTATCTTGGAATCATGTAACAATGACACAAGGGTCTAGCATTATAAATATCGTCAATGCGAGTGAGGATTTGATGACGGTCCGAAATAAGTTTTGATCAAAACACACCTCAGGAACAAGAAGACAACAAAGCAGGCAGATCTGGCGGCAGTGACATGGGTCAATTTTGCAACGTATAATGACTTCATAAGTTCATAACTGAATTCATAACGGTTGCTCTCAGCGTACCAGACATGACCGTTCACATAACGACAAAACTCTACCTCAAGCAGCTTTCCCGTTACGGTGACAACAAGGTGTGTCTACCTATCAACAACACCCCATCTTTTCTGAGATAGGGGGAATGGATTTCAGTGTGAGTAGGGAATTGGTAGACAAACTAGTGGTAACAAAGACCTTGGCACTCCTTTGGTTGGATGAAAGCCCACAATTGAAAGTGAAGATCAAAGGCAAGGTAAAGAGAGGCATCTAGAAGTTGCAGTAATGGGTTGGAGGGCCGGACAACGAGATCGATACGATGGAGACTACGCTGCACAATTTGCCCCAGCTTATGTAGGCTTAAGAGCTGTGAGCTCCCTGCCGTCAGAACAGGCGCTGGCGCTGCAGGGCAATAAATGCAATTTCAGAAAGGACCCCGCCCATGAAAAATGCAAGTACTGTACCATGGCCGGTCACTTCACTCAAGCTAACCATGACCTAATTAGGAATAGATGCTCGAGGACCCTAAAAAAAAAAGGAGTGATCATCAGATCCTATAGGGAATGGACCAATAGGAACTCGTTGGGAGGAATCAGAAAAATATTGGCCTCACTTAAAAAAACTCGACTTTGCAGCCATGCAGGCAGAAGAAACAGAGGAGCTTTGTGTTGGGAACGTAGAAAGCCAAAACTGCCGCAGGCAAAATATATCACTGCAAAAGAACAAGGGGGAAGTACTGAGGGTGTTACCATAACTACGAGATGTAATGCGGCAGAAAGGAGGGCCGCGGAGGAGGCCGCATCTGAAAAGGACGAGGGAGGAGCTCTAGTTGTGCAAAAGGAGGTCTTGGATGATGGGGAGAAGCAGTTCGGAAAGTTGAGGAACGAGAAAGGGAGGGAAGGTTTGACACAGCCAAGAAGAAGTACCGTTACGAAATTCTGATCCTACCAATGCCCAAGAATGATAAGGGCCTTACCAAGCTCCTAGGGAGCATGGTCTCGTTGTCCTTCCCAACCATGTCGCATGCCAGTCCCAGAGTCCTCAAAGGACTGCACCACCTACCACTTGAAGAAGGGTGGAAGATACCAAAGAACCGGGAAAGGATGAGAACATGGCCAAGGATGGTGCGATCGAGAGTAGGGAGGTAGCTAACCTCCAAGGATTGCCAAACGACATAGAGGACCTTAACAAATATTAGGCTCAACTTGCCAGATCGAAAGGGTGGGGAAGTCTTTGCCAACTTGGCAGATCGTAAGGGTGGGGAAATCTTCGCCACCTCGGATGAAACTGAGTTTCATGCCTGACGGTCAAAAAACACAGGTTACAAATCAGGTTACACTTCACTGAGGACTTGGTCAACACTGGAGCTGAGATTACCCTAACCAAAGAGTTGCCCGAACTACGGAATGTGCAATAGATGAATGCACGAAAGGATGCATCCGAGGGGACGATGACGGTGGAGAGATATCTCTTCTTCTTCTTCTTTTCCTCACATTTGTGTCATTCCCCACCTACATCATCTGTCGTACTTCCGATGTGGGTGAGGCCAGGACAGATCTTATTCCATGCATGTCCCCTCCTTGCATTTCTGGTGTGTGATGATGTATGTGTATGAGTCAGATTGATGTTTTTCCGTCTTCCACCGCTTCACATTGTTGTTTCTCCTCACTTTGGTGATTCTTGGTCCTGTGCCGTGCGTACTTGTTTATGGGCATGTGACATGCATAGGATGGCAGCACTTCCCACAACCAGTACCGCATCTGACTCCCTCAACCCCACCCAGTGGTCTTCCTAGAAGGTGGGACCAGCTAATAAGGTCTTACCCCAGCTGAGAGGGATTACAGAGAGAGAGAGAGAGAGAGAGAGAGAGAGAAGGCTATGACTATGTGAGCAAGCCCTACTGTCATAACTCCCAGTGTGAGTGCTCTCTAAGGAAAGAAAGAACAAAGTCTGCGGAGATGCATCTAGGCAGGATCTACAGCCACATTCATCCCAAAAATCTCTCTCTCTCTCTCTCTCTCTCTCTCTCTCTCTCTCTCTCTCTCTCTCTCTCTCTCTCTCTCTCTCTCTCTCTCTCT